GTGGCGAGAGGGAGGAGCCGTTTGAAAGCCCTACAGGTCTCTCATGGTCTTCCCGGAACTCTGCAAAGTTGCAGAGAGACTAACAGAGATGACAGAAGCAGGCCCGTAGGCCAGGATTTTGTCATTCAGGGGGTCTTTAAATAAATCAGGGGGCACGGACGTCACAAAATGAAAAATAAAATTTTAAAAACTCACTTGCGGCATGCGTGCTCTTCTTGCCTACATGGGAAGCAAGCCACGCTTGGGGAAGGGACGGCGGTGGGGAGTCCTCCGGGTGTCCCAGAGAGCCAGGGGGCTGGGAGTTGGGGGGGCCTTGGCAGGAAGTCAGGGGGCCAGGCCCCGAAATGCCCCACTAGAACTATGGGCCTGGATAGAAGTCTTCTCGTGTTTGTTTAGAATCTGAACTGTTGCTGAGGCAAGGTATGTTCCTGTCTCTGACGCTTACACTTCACCCCCTCCTTCCTTCCTGGAGCTGCAGGCAGTATCTGTGATTCTTCACTTTATCCTCCCCACAGCCATGGGAGGTAGGCTAGTCTAAGAGAGTGACCGGCTCCTGGTGGAGAGGGGATTGGAACCGGGTCTCCCCGGGTCTAGTCAAACACTAACCACTGCCTCTCCCATCTGACTGGGATAGGGAAAGCAACAAACACACGGGAAACACGGCGAGGTTGAGCAAACGTGGAAACACACTGTGTTAAAACAGAACACACAGTTCTGATATGCTACTGTGTCTTCATATGCAGACAGGATTCGATACAGCGAGCATCAAAGCAGCACACTTTTTCCTGGAACCCAGATGAGCCTCTTTTTTTAAAAAGCTCCTGGTGGAGAGGGGATTGGAACCGGGTCTCCCCAGGTCTAGTCAGACACTAACCATTGCCTCTCCCATCTGACTGGGATAGGAAAAAGCAACAAACACACGGGAAACACGGCAAGGTTGAGCAAACGTGGAAACACACTGTGTTAAAACAGAACACACAGTTCTGATATGCTAGGGTGTCTTCATATGCAGACAGGATTCAATACAGCGAGCATCAAAGCAACACACTTTTCCCTGGAACATAACTTTGTTTTTCTCCTTAGCATTACTCTTAGTCTTCTGCTACCTTTCACTGAACTTTTCCAGGCATATAAGCACCAGATGAGCCTTCTACAGAGTTGTTTGACTTGGGCATTGTAGCATTGTGAGCTTGGGTTCCAGGAAAAAATAATCTGCCTGAAGAATTTCTCGAAACACGCCAACTTCTGCCTAGGAGGCGTGTCGCTTTGATGCTTGCTGCATCTCTTTTCGGAAAGCGAAACGGCCTCCGACATCGGCACTGACGGCTGCTGCATCTCTCCTCGGTCCCTCATCAGAAAGCAAGATAGTCTACGGCATTGAGTCCTGTCTGTATATCTGTCTCCGTAGCTGTGGACTTTTCTACAAGATATATATTGTTCTTTAGGTTTTTGTTATCAATGTGCTATAATTAGTAAGATACACGAGGGTCTTTATTGTCTATTTAAGTATATGATTTAAACAAATATATGAAGACACAGCAGTATATCAGAACTGTGTGTTTTGTTTTAACCAGGGCTTTTTTTGTAGAAAAAGCCCAGCAGGAACTCATTAGCTTAATTGGCCACACCCAACAGCAGAAACATATTAGCATATTAGGCCACACCCCTGACAGCACAGCTCATTAGCATATGAGTTACGAGAAGTGTGCTCATCCAGCCACACCCACCTTTTGCTTCTTATTCTGTTTACCTTGTTTGTGGTCAAGACCCAGGGCTTTTTTTGTAGCAGGAACTCCTTTGCATGTTAGGCCACACACCCCTAATGTAGCCAATCCTAATGAGTTTCTGCTGTTGGGTGTGGCCTATTATGCTAATGAGTTCCTGCTGGGCGTGGCCAACTCAGGAGCCAGCTGGAACTCCATTCCTGTGCGTTCCTGCCCAAAAATAGCCCTGGTTTTAACATGGGATAGGAAAAGGCCTGAAAGCATGACTTGAGTACTTACAGACTCAACAGAACCAGCCTGCACTTCTTCTTTGCCTTTTCTAAGTTCCACTTACAATAATGAATCATGACCGGGGGGGGGTATTTCAGGCCAGCATTTGGGCTCCCTCCTTGCAGCCCGAGTCCCACTGCAGGAACGGCCAAACCCAAGGCTGTGTTTTTCCTAAAGCCAGCTTCTTGGGGAAAATGCCTTTGCTTGGGGTAAGCGATCATCTTAGCTGTTAAAGTGTGGGTGTCGTTGGAGACCCCCGAGGGCCCGAGGAATCAACCCACCGAGTCTCCTAGCAGAAAATGGCCATCTAGCATCTGTACACACACGACCCAATGAGTTGAACAAGTATAAAGCCAACAGTCGTGATAGTCTGACCCACAATCAAACAGTCATAAGACTTATAAAGAATGCTGTTTATGTATTGCAATCTAAAGCACTATAAAATGATACACAACGTCGTCTCCGGATTACATAACAATGTTTCAAAAAATGAATCTTCTTCAGGAGATATTCTGTAGTGTACAAAAATAGTGGTGCCAAAGCTCTCAGTTTCATAAATGTTAGACAAGTCTTAAGAATCTGTAACATAGTAATATTACTGAGAGCTTTGGCACCACTATGTAAGTAAGCACTAAGATTATTGTATTGTCTCTTGTCTCTTGTTATTGGTGTAGCACATATTCTAAAAATTGTATTTTTGTACACCACAGAATATCTCCTGAAGAAGATTCATTTTTTTGAAACGTCGTTATGTAATCCGGAGACGACGTTGTGTCTCATGTTATAGTGCTTTAGATTGCAATACATAAACAGCATTCTTTATAAGTCTTATGACTGTTTGATTGTGGGTCAGACTATCACGACTGTTGGCTTTATACTTGTTCAACATCTACTTTCTGTGGCAGGAAGAAACCCCACCCCACCCCCCATACACACACCTGAGAGGTCACTTTCAGAACTGAAATTTGACTGCAGATTTCTGACTACGGGGTCTGTGGTGTTAGGTTTCACTGACTTTATTTATACCCCATCATTATCCCCAGTGGTGACCAAAAGGGGGCCTACGTCTTCCAAGGCAACGCCTCTCCGTTCTATTTTCACAGCTACCCTGTGAGGTAGGTGAGGTAGGTTTAGGCTAAGAGTGACGGAATGGCCCAAGGCAAGCTTCCTTAGCAGGGTAGGGATTCGAACCGGATCCTAGTCCTGACACCCCTGTTTGGCTCCAGTATGGCAGCTTACGGGAAGAGGAAGCTACCTCTCTTGCACTGTTACGTTTCAGTTTGAAAATGAACTTCCTGACAGTTGGGAGCGGTTCCTCGGTGGAACAGGCTTCCTCAGGAGGTGGCGGGCTCCCCTTCTTTGGAGGTTTTCAAACAGAGGCTAGATGCCCTTTTGACAGCAATGCTGAATCTATGAACTCAGACAGATCCTGAGAAGGGAGGGGCAGGAAGGGTTGCCTCAGGGCTTAGTTCCCGTGGCCCTTTCTTACGCGCCCAGGGAAATGCTGATGGCCACTTTTGGGGTTAGGAAGCCATTTTTCTCCAGGCCAGTTTGGCCGGGGATCCTGGAGGGTTTTTGTCATCTTCATAGTCACTGGGTGTTTGGGGGGGGGGGAGGTATTTCTGAGTTTCCTGCCTTGTGCAGGGGGTTGGACCCCGGAGGTCCCTTCCAACCAGTGTTCCCTCTAAGCTGAGTGAGTGTGAGCCAGCTCACAGTTTCTTAGCCTCTGGCTCACACATTTTTGCCTTCGCTCGGGAAGGGATGGCTCCAGAGCAGACTGATTGATGCAGCGGCCAAATCGCTCGCTCACCACTTTAATTGCCAGGAGCTCACAGAGTAGAATTTTTGCTCACAGGACTCCACAGCTTAGAGGGAGCATTGCTTCCAACTCTATGATTCGATGAAATAGGGCAGTTGCAGACTGATCCTGGGGCTCTTCCCAGCCTCCGGGGCAGACCTCCAGGGAGAGGCGGGGGTAAGTCCCACATCAGTATCTCCATATGCAGAAAGTACATTATACGTTCGTCTAAGCTCTCTCTCTCTGCCCTCTCTCTCTCTCTCTCTTTTTCACATGCAACTGTGTGCTATTTTTTACTTCTAAGGTCCAAAACATTTTTGGCCTATACTCAGAGTCAGTGTTCCCTCTAAGCTGGGTTAGTGTGAGCTAGCTCACAGTCTTTTACCCTCCGGCTCACATGTTCTTGCCTTAGCTCAGGAAGGAGGGCTCCAGGGCAAACTATCTTAGGCAGCAGCCAAATCGTTTGCTCACAACTTTAGCGCTGGTAGCTCACAAAGTAGAATTTTTGCTCACAAGGCACCACAGCTTAGAGGGGGCATTGCTCAGAGCCTGTCCAAACTGGCTTGGCTCTAGCCCACAATTACCACAGTGTATCTGGTGGGGACTGTACGATGGTTTCCTTGGCAGGTTCCCCTGATCGCGGGGATTCCCTCTCCCTGGCGCTTCGTATTCAGCCCCTCGGCTCGATAATAAAAGAGCCGTTGTCTTTCTTGCCACGTTACCTGCTCCTTCCCACCTGACTACGTTGGAAGGGTACAGTCCCAAAGCATGAAGACAGTGTCAGAGGCCAGCCATGCTGCTCTTCGGGAGAACAGCTAGATTCGAATCCGGGAGCCCCTCAGAGACCCACCAGATTTTCGTTAGGTACCTGAGGACGGCAGCGTTGACTCTCGAACACTTGTACCCCCAAGAAACCTCATTGGTCTCTGAGGTGCTCCTGGGCTTGAGTCGAGCCAATCTAACCACACGTCTGCTTAGGAGCACGCCCCACGGAATGTGAACCTGGCGGCTTTTCTCCTATGCGCTACCTTCTGGAAAAGCGGGTCGTCGGCTGGGACTTTAAAGCAGTCGCAGAGCTCCAGGAAGTCCGCCTTGTCCAGGAGTCCCGTGCCGTCTTTGTCCCGCTGCAGAAACGCCGCCTGCATGTCGCCGTCCGGGAAGAAGTTGTGCCGCTGCAGGTGCTCCTGCGTCTCAGCCACGGCCGCCTCCAGTTCCTGCTGGTCAGGCTCGCTTTGGTCCAGCCTGCGGGAGGGAAGAAGTGGCCTTGACCTCTGCATAAACGGACTTGGGACAAGGGTCTGCTTGCCAGGTCCGGCCTATGAGGCCTTCTCTTGGAAGGCTGGCAGCAGGAGTCCCCGATGTGGCGCTCGTGGAAACCCTGGCATCCGCCGAGTGTTTTCAGAAAGTGGGTGGGGCTCTTACCCAGCTGGGCTTCTGATTGGCCAATGGACATCTGATGGGCTGTGCAGACTGAAATAATGTTGTCTCGGCAGCAGCTGCCGCCACAGTCTTCGTCTTATTCTCTCTCTTTCCTTTTCCCCTGCACGTTTTTCAAACGTTTCCCCTGCCCTTCGGCTTCCTCTGTGTGGCTGATGCTGCTTCCCACGGCAGCCATTTTGTGGCTGCACCCACCACCCTGTGTCAGAATTCCAAAGGTGCCCACGGGCTCAGAAAGGTGAGGGACCCCTGGCCTGCAGGCCTGGTCAAAGGACTTCCAATTGACAAACAATACTCCTTTTCAACAGTTCATACACGGATTATGTCTATAAATACTGTAGAAAAGAGCAAGAGAGAAAGAGGAGGAGGAGGAGGAGGAGGAGTCATCTCAGAGTGGTTTACAATCTCCTTCCCTTCCCCTCCCCGCAACAGACACCCTGTGAGCAGTGTTCCCTCTAAGCTGAGTTAGTGTGAGCTCGCACAGTTTTTTAGCCTCACACATTTTTGTCTTAGCTCAGGAAGGATGGTTCAAGAGCAAACTGATGCAGTAGCCAAATCGCTCGCTCACAACTTTAATGCCAGTAGGAAGTACTTCTTCACCCAAAGAGTGATTAACACTTGGAATTCACTGCCACAGGAAGTGGTGGTGGCTACAAGCATGGACGGCTTCAAAAGGGAATTAGATAAGCATATGGAGCAGAGGTCCATCAGTGGCTATTAGCCACAAGGTATAGGTAGGAACTCTCAGTCTGGGGCAAGGGATGCTCTGTATTCTTGGTGCTTGGGGGGGGGTCAACAGTGGGAGGGCTTCTAGTGTCCTGGCCCCACTGGTGGACCTCCTGATGGCACCTGGTATTTCTGGCCACTGTGTGACACAGAGTGTTGGACTGGATGGGCCTTTGGCCTGATCCAACATTGGCATCTCTTATGTTCTTATGTTCAAAGAGTAGAATTTTTGCTCACAAGACTCCACAGCTTAGAGGGAGCATTGCCTGTGAGGTAGGTGAGGCTGAGAGAGCTCTTTCGAGGACTGCTCGTGAGAGAACATATCTGAAAGAACTTATGACTGACCCAAGGTCACACCAGCAGCTGCATGTGAAGGAGTGGGGAATCAAACCTGGCTCTCCCAGATTAGAGTCCATGCTCCTAATCACTACACCACACTGGCTCCCTTAAAGACTAACCGTAGCACCTTTAAAGACTAACAAAATATGTGGCAGGGGACTTTCGTGACTCACTGCTCACCTCTTCTATAAATATAGCTTATTACCAAAACCTCTGCGGACCTGGAAGCCTTTTTGAAAAAGTTATACAGGGAAGAGAGTCCAGTCATTTAAAGAACAACAGCGGCCATTCAGTATTCATTTTATTTGTTTCACAAAAAGTACACCCCACCTTTCTGCCCTCATGAAGGCCACAAAGCCAGCTATCAAAACAGACGTAATAAAGTTGCATCTTAAAAACCATTAAAAGTAACAACAGCAAAACACTTCATTAAAACCAGAACTAAAATACATACAAAAACATAAAAACAACAGCTAAAACACCGGGCTGGAAGGAGGGATCACGGAGGGAACACCAAACAAAATGAATGTTTCATTGCTTGAATATAATCTTTAATATTGTCTTTTTGCATTGCCCCTTACAGTAAGGCACTGGAACGTAAGCACCCACCTACACTCTCTACCCCATACGGTGTAGCCTTGACCCACACTCCCACAAATTATTTAATTCTTAGATGATAAATTAAAGCTTTAGCAGATTAAACTGATCACAACTGGAGGCCATACGAATAAAATAGGCTACTGTAACCAAAGAACAAAGTTTGAGTCCGGCGGCACCTTTACGACCAACAAAGTTTTATTTAAGATATAAGCTTCCGTGTGCACGCACACTTCTTTGGATACATGCACATGAAAGCTTGTACCTTGAATAAAACTTTGTTATAATAATAACAATATAATACTTTCCATTTATTAATCGCTTTCCCCAATGGGCTCAAAGCGATGTATAATTACTCAATATAGACAAGGGACTAACAATGTTTGTAGGGGATAGGGAAGACAACATATATTCATTTTTAATTGCATGCGCCGTCACTGCCCGGTGTAGACGTCTTCTGGCTTGGCTCCGTCGTTTTCCGCATGGCTGCGTGTTGGCCAGGCCTCAGGAACCGTATGTCAATCGCCACACTGCCACCGCCTGGCCGGAACATCATTGCAGGGATTCTTTCATAGCCGAGAAGCTGTTTCGCCTTCCAAGCCTCGACCAGGACGTCCGACCATCAGCTAACCCCCTCCCACAAGGGAGGTTGGCGTGCCCACCCTCTCTAAGGAGTGGTTCCCATTTTATCTACTCGCCGAAGCTTTCGAATCGCTGGGTGGACGATGAGCTGGGGACAACAGGCTGGCTGCTCACACCAGTGTGGGGCTT